TTGGAGTTCAGGAGATTGTCTTGACCAGGACCACACCCCTAAATGCATTGAAGCAACTGCCATGTGATTGGTTGATTAGATAATTGCATTAAGGAGAAATTGAACAGGTGTTCCTAATAATCCTTTTAGGTGAGTGTATATATATACACACACAATTAATGCCGATCTGCTATGCAATTTGCTTTGGTTAGGAATGAACAATTAGGACTTTATAATTTTAATTGGGTTAAGAATATGTTAAACAATGTTTCTTATTTGCTGTTGAAATTTTGTAGTTAATTTTGCAGTAAAAACAATAAATAAATAAAACACAGTCTTGCAAAATAAGGTAAAAGCATGATGGGTGATGATCGATTATATTTTTCTGATATAAACACCGTGTGGATTAACGCCGGCTGACTATTGAAGAAACGTACGGCAGGATGCTATTTTTCAAAATCGGTTATTTTATTTGATGTGATAAGCTGTTGAACTGTCAAAATGAATTGCTTTTACGATTATCATCAGAACCGAATGTTTCAGTGCTGAGTGAAGGAAAGGCTTGGGAGGGCAGTAATTAAGGGATGTTCTGGGCCTCCTGATCAGATCCCATAGTTTTGTCGTAAAGAAGAAATATACAGATAAATGGCCCAGATTGAAAATACGTGTCATAACTAATCTGGAGAGTGTTGTTTTCAAACGAATAAGTACTTGTCACTTTAAATCAAGAATGCATCGTGCAATTTTCCCTGCCTTTTAAAATATGGCTATAATTACATTTTCACACTGTTTCTGATTCCACTGTATGATATATAGTGTGGGTCAGAGTTATTCACTTTGTTTTTTTTTTTATTTGTGTTTCATCAGAATAGGAGTGCAGATGAAAATCATGATAGTTACCTTAGCAGCCTCCAAAATCAAAAGCAGAAATTAGATCTAGAAGCCCAATTATTTTCTGTTTTAGGATTAAAATGCATCATTGACTCCTCTGGAAAAGACTGCCCTGTTCCTTGTCCAGTGCAAAAACCAGATTTAAGAATCAGAGTGTCAAGTATTTTTAAGGTTTACGTCTGGAATTGGATATTTGTAAGGACTTTTAAAATTATATTTACGTCCGTAGTACAGTTAACTATAAGTAAGTGTGTTAGTGGATACATTCTTTTAATATAACAAACAAAATATATAAAAACATGTTGCGTTATAGATTAAATTACTAGCCTTTTTTGGTTCTCGTGTTGCTTGACCGCCCCCTTGTGGTAGAAATTAGTTGTAGAATGTTTTAAAATGGGTACGTTTGTCTCCAACTGATAGTTATATTCCTAAGTATTTAGTATCTATATATAAAATTATAAAGTAGATATCGAACTAAATATAGCCTAAATGTGCAACTAGAACAATGCACCTTTAATAGGTATTGAAAAACTAATTATGTATCCATAGAACTGTAGATTTTAGAATAAATAAATTATTTACAAAAGTCAGAAACTAAGCGATTCTGTTCAGACCGCGAATTTGTTCCGATCACATTACACAGCAGAAAGAAAGATGTCATCATAAAGAAGTTAAAACTCTGGGTCTCGGCTGTTATACTTTTAAGCGGAACTAAAGAACAATGCATTTTGGTACACGAGACTATTAAAGTGACGTACCGGTCCTTGTTTAACGTGCCTGGGAAGGTTATGCTGTATCCTACTCTTTTATAAATCTAATTGTATTAAAATAGGTGTTAAAGCTTTATTTTTTGGAATGTAAATGCTTTGTCATAAGTGACATCAATCATTTTATTAAAAGGTACGTAACATGCATAGCGTTCCGGGAAAGTGAGATTAGCATTTGATGACATTGATTATTTCTTGATTTATATGTAAGTAACTAAATGTATTCTGCAGAAATGTTACAAAAAATGTTCCTTATATTTAGACCTGTATTTGTTCTCTACTTATTCTTATATATGTAAATCAGCGATCAGAGTTGTACGCGGGTTGTTACGAGGACTCGTTTAATATTTATGGAGCAGAGCTATAATTCCACTGTATTCGATTCTGTCATTTGTTATTACAGGTAATAACCATGTCGCACTACGCCACGCGAATGGCGCGCCTGAGTGCGCGTATCTTCGGCGAGGTTGTGCGCCCCACGGATGCCCGCTCCATGAAGGTAGTGGATCTTTTTAAAGAACCGCCTCTGGCGCAGCGGAAGGGGGTGTATAACTGGTACCCAGAGCACAACACCTACTACGGCCTGACCAAGACATTACGCTTATTGGGCTTGTTCAGGTATTCAGATCGCAATGTGTATGGTTTTTCACAGTGCAGACTATGTTTTATACATGTATTTTTATTATGGTTGAGAAGATCAAAAGTGACAATTTTGCGAAATTTGTTTTTTATGCGTGCATTGCACCTTGCTGTACACCTGTGATTATGATTAGAGATGAACACGAGGACTTCAAGGACGAGATGCGACGGCTAAAGAAACTGCGAGGGAAGGGGACACCAATGAAGGGTGAAGGGAAAAGAGCCACAAAGAAGAAGTAGCTTAACTTTATTACCAAACGGGATCATAACAGGTCAACCTGAAGCTTCAGGAAGAATGACTGCAGAACAGGATATGGGATTGTAACGGACTCTGGAGGGGAAAACCAAATTTGATGTAAATAAACACAGAGGAACTTTCTGTGTGATTTATTATGTTGTAATATTGTAATAGAATCGCCAGTTTACAGCACCAACACGATCAGCTTTCACCAGCTAAAGTATCTTGTGATATGCTGTGATTTATATCATTTAACATTACATTTTGAGTGAAAAGTTTAAGGTAGCCGAATGAAAATACCAAAACGCAATACCACTGCCATTAATTAAATTCTCAGTGTGGCATGCATTATAAATCCATGTCTTTATAATTAATTATTTATATTATTTTAAAGCCATTAGATTGCTTCAAAGCTATCACAGCAATCAAAAATGAAAAGCTCTGTAATGCTGCATACACTATAACATGGGTGTAACAACATTAACCACACAGATAGGTTCTTCACAGTTATATATATTTCTGTTGAGCCTGATGATGCATCACTGCTCTCTCGGTTAGAAGACTGTCTATTAGATATCCGGTGCTTGATGGCAAAAAATTTCCTAATGTTAAACACAGAAAAAACAGAAGTTCTGGTAAGTGGTCCCAAGGCTGCACGAAATAAGTCTCACCACCTCAACAGTAGTGGCGTTCCTACACAACCTAACACAGTGGTCAGAAATCTTGGGGCACTTTTCCACCACGCAAAGTTCAATACTTTCGCTTTTCCATTGACTTCCTGATGAGTACCAGTACCGAAAGTTCCAGTACCGAAAATGCCAAACCAGCTGAGGTACTTCTTTGGTACTTCGGTACTTTGGGGTGGGACTTGCAAACATATTTGCTGTTGATTGGTTATGCAAATAGCCTGCCGCAGAAACACAAAATACAACCGCCATCTTTTGAAACACACAACGAACAGCGAGAAACTAAATAAACAGCAGTAAAAACAAAAATATTAAAAAAGGAAAAATGGAAGGATGGACAAACGAGGAAATAGCAAAGTAATAGCAAGCCGCTTGGAAGAAATGGGGCACATGCGAAACACCGAACAATGCCGCTTGAAAATCACAAAACTTAAGCAGAACTACAGGATAATGAAGGATCATAATAATATGTTTGAATTCAGTGAAATAAATACTGCACCGCGCTTTGTGATGATGTCAGTCAGGGGCGGTCACTGATGATGTCATTTGGTGCCGGTACCAGTTTTTACGCCAGTGGAAAACCGACACAAAAGAAGTACCATACTTTTGGTACTTTATGGAAGTACCAAAAGTACGGTACCTGGTGCGGTGGAGAAGCGCCCTTGGTCTTCTAATTGATTAAGATTTAAGGTTTGATGCTTACATAAGAGGTATTACTAGAACTGCGTTTTATCATTTACGAAACATAGCCAAGCTTCGGAAGATGCTCTCCCTTCATGTTGCGGAAAAATTAATATATACCTTTATAACTTCCAGACCGGGCTACTGTAATGCCCTCCTGTCTGGTTGCCCATCTGGATCCTTACATAAACTTCAGCTGGTACAGAATGCAGCAGCCAGAGTTCTCACAAACACTAAAAAATTTGATCAGATCACACCTGTCTTATCCTCCCTTCACTGGCTTCCAGTTAAGTCTTGGATTGACTATAAAATGCTGCTATACCTGTAAAGCACTGAATGGCCTTGCACCAGAATACCTTAGTGATCTGCTGACCTCATACAACCCTCCACGCTTGCTTCGTTCTCAAGGCGCAGGATTTCTATTAGTACCTAGGGTAGAAAGAGCTACGGCAGGCTGCAGAGCTTTCTCCTATAGAGCTCCTCAGCTGTGGAACGGTCTTCCACCGGATGTGCGGGATTCAGGCTCACTCTCAATATTCAAGTCTAGACTAAAAACACACCTGTTTAGTTTGCTTATAGGGACCCTAATTCTAGCTCTAGCTAACTCCTCACTCCCAGTTAGACCCATAGTGAGGTGTAGAGTTGGGTGGGGATCGGTGCCATTAGCTTTGGATGAACTGAGCTGTCAGTGCTGTCACTCTAGCTTCACACCCCCTTATGGAATTGGAGTGCTGACATTTCTGGGACTCCCCATGCCTGCATTCCCACCTGCCTCTCCCTCCTACTTATGCTGCCATAGCCATATCTGCTGGAGTTTACATACTGCACTCACCTAACTGTTTGCACTGCCTAATTGCACATTTTTTCCCACCTACCCCTCCTGGGGGGAGCTGCCTGGAGACTTCAAATTATCAAGATATCCTGCACACCCTGCTACGTGCGACGTCTCCACTATCCATGATGTCCTTGCATCCAGCTCACCGTGTCTGTGTCATCCTCCATTTTTGCCCTGCTACCTAACTACTGGTTGCCTGGCGATCTGAAGGAGCGCCAACACCGGTTGTCATCACCTCCCTGCTCCCCGGTTGTGACTCAAATCTTATGACTTGGAAAGTGTGACTCGGCACTTAGCCATCTCTCTGATTTGACCCTCCCTGCCGGCCCCAGGAGGATGGGCTCCCCCTTTGAGTCGGGTCCCTCCCAAGGTTTCTTCCTTCTGGGGAGTTTTTCCTTGCCACTGTCGCCTATGGCTTACTCACTGGGGGCTTTGGGTGGGGATGCTGTAAAGCGCTTTGAGACGATGTAATGTTGTGATAACATGACACCACGCTTTCAGATTTTCACGCAAGCAATCTTATGACGAATCTATATTATTCCGTTATAAACCTAAAATTGGGTGCATCAAAAGTGTTGGGATAGCTTTCAAACCATAAAGACTATTTACAAGATTGTAAAATTGTTACATACACGTAAATGCGTATGCAGACTTGTCTCACATTGGAGATCTCACTCCAGCCAGCTTTCCAAAGTTGGCAACCCTGCAAAGGTCTGACTGAAGATCAGTGATTTTGGCCAGAGTCACACGGACAAGGTGTGAGTTATAGCAAGATTTCCCACCCATGTGCACCATAGTCTTACTGTGTTGGTACTGGAAATCATGCGTACGGGGTTAAGGACACACACAAGTCCCAAATCCAACAACCGCGTTTCAGACATTTTAACTCAAAAAGGAATGAGGAGCTGATCCCCTCTTTTCTGCGCCAAAGTCGGTTTAGCATGTTTAACCACAGAAGTTTTGGAAACAGTCTTACTTTGGGTCACAGTGCAGGATTACCCATTTATCTGCTACCCCTGGGGCATTTTTCAGGGGGTTAAGGGCCTTATTCAAGGGCCCAGAGACTATTCTGCAGAGGACAGGATTCAGAGCGTTGACTTTGCGGTTATAGGTACAGAGGTCCAACCCGCTGAGCTGCACTCCGCCCACCTGGCACCCCACCGCTTCCGTCAGATGTTTGCTCTGTATGAATGCTGCACGGCCCGGAGGCCTGGAGCTGCTCTCCATTCCAACACCGCCGACTGAAACCAGGTGTAATTAGACATTGCCGCTGAGAGCACGTGACTGGACCGCAGCCAGCCTTCATAAATTGTGAATGAAACAGAGGTAATGCAGGCTTCTAATACTTTGATTAGATGTTGTCATTGATCCATATTGGAGCTGTGCAGTGTGCTGCACGCATCGACAGGCTGGATGAAGGTCTGAAGAAGCAGGAGCTCCTGGACCTGGTCCATCAGGATAGGTGGCTCTAGACATGGATGTGCACTGCAGAATTACTTTGCAGATTAACTTCAGACTTAAGCATCTACCTATCTTTCTGTCTGTCTGTCTCTCTGTCTATCTATCTACAACTATCTGTCTGTCAATCTTGCCTGTCTGTCTGTCTATCTATCTATCTATCTATCTATCTATCATGAGAAAAGGGAGGCAATTTGCCAAAGAAAAGTTTTTTTCAGTAATTTGAACATGTCTTTGAGCAAATGGTCATTTTTACATTTTAAAGTGCATAAAAGATTTTTTTTTAACAAGTGATAATTGATCATTCGAAAATGTTAAGCTAGAGAAGCATAACTGGCTAGCAAGGCTGTTATTGTGAGAAACTGGGTATTCTAGGCCGTTTGTAGAGGTTTTTGGATTTGTGTTTTTTTTTTTTGTATTTCGATGCTCATACTGATTTTTCATTATGCCAGCTGTCCTGATTGCACAGCTATTTATCAAACACCTTTAAACGTATTGCTGTTGACTTTTTTTTCTTAAGAAGGGATGTTTTCCATAATCTGTACGTGAAAGGGTTGTATGTTCTGATGCCCGAAAAATGGAGATTCTGCACGAATCTGGTCTCTGTCAGCCATGAAAGTATAAACACCAATATTCTGTCCTTGCCTTCTGCCCCATCAGCGATGCTGAAAACATGTTGGACTATCGCTGACAAAGGTGCTTTCACACACAAAAAAAAGGGCTGAAATGCTGCACCAGTGCAAGCGTGATGCTTTGCAGATGACGCGTGAAGCCTTGGAAGAAGATGCAAAGCATGTTCTCACAGTAAGCGGAAAGACAGACACCATTCTGCAGTGTGCATAACATACGCAAATAACCTCTGAATACTGCTGACCTCAGGATCTGTTTGGAGTTCTCTGATTGGCTGATTCCTCCCGGTTACTCCGGTTATGAACAAGCCAGCATATAATGAAAAAGAGCCATCGTGACTAATCAAAAACAGTCTTTGTTTTGTTTTTTTGATGCTTGTAAATTAACATTCAGAATGACATTGATTTTGCCCACATTGGTATCAAAGCTGGGTCCTTGGTCAATGCTTGAATTTTAAAGTTGTTTAATTAATTAAATTCATTCTTTCTCTTCCTTGCATACATCGTGTTGATTTTAAAGATATTTTACTTTCCTTTGGCTGGCTTGTCTACAAAACTGCAATTATTTTAATGAATTTCAATAATGTTCTACCACAGATATTTAACTGTTCACATTTATTTTTGCAGCAGATGCTTTTATCCAAAGTGACATTCATTTCTGAGAAAGGAGAGTCGGTCAGTCCCTGGAGGAATCTGAGCCTCGCTTACGGACCTAACAGTGAAACCACTCTGCCAACCCTGGGATTTGAACAAACAACCATCACAGCACAGGGACACCACCCTAACCCCCACCGGTATCCTCGCTTGCTTTTTATGTGGTGGTAAGTCCAAGCTAATTAATAATTCATGTAT